TTCTCCCGTCACAATGGTCAGGTCAGGAACCAAATAATTTCCATCTTGAAATATAGATATGCTATATGATTTAATTGTGACACCACAATGCACAAAGATGGGTTCCCAAATAAGGTTGAGAAATGTGTTGGTGATCCCAACATTAGGGGAAGAAAATGAGCAGCTGAAAAAGTAATACATGGAATGAATTATTATGAATACATTAGATCCTCGTACAAGAAAATATGAACTTGAAGTTCAAGTGATAATTCATTTCCAAAATATTGCCAGGAGCATTTGCTGACCCAAACTAAATGTCATATTTCAGCTACTAATGCACCAAATAGAATAAAGTCCATGATGAACAGAATCTATGAACGCATGAAGCGTAATAGACTAATCGGTTCCAAACATAAAACTCCTTGAAGAAGGAGATGAGCAAATGTTCAAGATGGTCATAATAAGGAGGCAAGTGCTTTATAAGAGCACCATGACATAACATTTTATAAGACCTCATGGGAGAGGCTCAGGTACCTGAAAATAATGAGATCTCGATAAGTTATGTCTTTATTATGCGTGATGATGGAACCGATGTAAAATGATCGTTGACGATGTTGTTGATATAATGTAGCGCTCAATATTATTAATATTGACGAGGATCTTGAGCTCAAATCTGTCATGGAATTTGGACAGATAAATGATTGGCCAAATGAAAAATATGCAATGAAATTGACTTCACCTGAAAAATATGAAGTTGGACGGATAGTCCCCACACCTGAAAGTGAAATGAAAAATCAAGTCGATAGACATAAAGACGACTTGTGGCACAAAATTTTTGTAAATATCCTGGTATTAGGAGACATGTTCTCCTGTGGGGGGTCTGACAATACATTTGATATGCCTATAATGAAAATCCTTGAATGATTTAAATTATTCTGAAGCATATTAAGGTTCCCAAGAAATTTATTAAATAAATCTTCGGCAGATCCTTATGTAGATTAGAGCGATCATGGCGTACATGATTTATTTTTGTGTCTAGTGCAATTGGTGCACTAATATATCTGGCTAGAACCATGAGTATAACAATATGCTAGCAAGATATAGTTTTATTTCAATGTGGAGATATTTGAATACAATTAGTATTATATTTCAAAAGGAATACTTGATTTAGATATGTTTATTCTAACAAATATCGCCAAGATTTTGTTGGTTATGTAAATGCAGGCATTTTCTGAAGTTCGTTCTTCAAACATTCTATTTGCATGTGAGAGTACTGTCATATTATCATATTACAAGACAGTTAATTGTTGATACTTATTCAAGTCATGCCAAGATAAGCAACTGATAAAGCAAGGGGCTCAACACACAACAGACATGTGCCTTGACTTTGAAGAGAAGATTCCAATAATACTGAAGATAATGTTGTTTGCTTATATCAATTGAAAGAAGGACTATCGAAGGAGACAAAATAAAGCACATTTACCAAAGTTCTTCAACAAATTTGTTCAAGTGATAATTTGACAAACTTCTTCACAAGACATTGCGGATCTCAATATTAGAGAAGTTGTTATACAAGCTTGGAATTCGTCGTCTCCGAAGAATAAAGTGATGTTTTCATCAGGGGGAGGCAAATACGCGATGTACTCTTTTTCCCTTAGCTAAGATTTTATCCCACTGGGTTTTTCTGGCAAGGTTTTTAATGAGGCAGCAAATAATGCGTATTACAAGATATGTGTACTCTTTTTTCCTTCATAAGATTTTTTCCCACAGGATTTTTTCTTAGTAAGGTTTTAACGAGGCACATTATCTATAGACATCCAAGGGGGAGTGTTATGAAATATTATTTTGTAGTGGATGTCTATAACTCCTAAAGAAGTTACTCCCACTACTCTTCTCCATTATGTAGATAACTCCCACTACTTCTCACCATTATAGTTGTAACTCCCACACCTCCATAACCTCCCCATGATCTTCCTCCATGATCTCAAATGTTTAATGTCATGTTTATGGCATTCTTTTGTATGCCTCTATGTAATCCTATAAATAGAGGGTTTTGGCATCACATTGTATACACTTGAATACATAGAAGAAATAAGATTCTCTCCTCTCTTCCTCTCTACATTGTTGTCTATTTTATTGTTCTATATTGTTACTTTGAGCTAAGTTTCGTAACAATTGGCAATTTTTCAGCCTTATATTAGGTTTGGCAAAGATAGCCCAAACAATTGGCATTATATAACCAAATCCTAAAAAAACCTACTCTCTTTTATATTCTCTCTCAAAAAAAAACTACACGCTTATTTTGGCTTCCCTCCCCCTTTCTCTCCATGTATTTCTTCTTCTATCTCTTCTCTTTTGCTCTCATAGTTTAGCAAAAATTCTTGCAAATTATGTTAAAAAAAAAAAAAATCAATGGGATGAAAAGGTAAGGTTGATCTCACATCAGAGAAAATCAGAGGCAAAAACTAAGAGAAAAAATATATTTCAACTTTGTTTTTCTTCTCTCATTTTTTTTTATTGGATTGAATGAGTGGGTGTGATTGAAATTGATTGAAAATACCTAAACGAGGCTATATACAAAATTTGAGCAAGATTAGCAAAAACTAAGAGAGAAAAATATATTTCAACTTTGTTTTTCTTCTCTCTTCCTTTTTTTGGTTGGATTGAATGAGTGGGTGTGATTGAAATTGGTTGAAAATACCTAGACGAGGCTATATACAAAATTTGAGCAAGATTAGAAGTGATTTAGACTAGTTTCAGGCAAAAAATCAGACCTAAAAATCCAACTGTGACGTGTATATCACGTTGTATATCGTGTATATCACACACAAGTTTTTAAGGACGTATATGTATATCACTTTGTATAAAGGTATACAACACAATTTTTTCATGGACACCTATGTATATCACATTGTATATCGTATATATAACACAAATTTTCATGGATATACACAGGTACACATAATATGCATGAGATATCACTGATGTACATAGAGATATACACGTTTTACAATAGGGGATACACATGTGGGGTCGTCTTGAACTTGAGTTTTCAATCTTAAATGTGTTATACAAAGAAGGAAAATAAAATTTTATTAAATTTTTTTGATATACACATCATTATTATTATGTTATACACTGTGATATACAAATAATATAATAATTTTATTGTGATATACATTGATATAAATGCAGCAATAACTATATATATAATTTTATAGTATTGATATACAAAGAATAATATTTATTATATATAAAGAAGGAAAATAAAAGTTTAATATACATGTCCGTATAGACAAAGAAGAAAAAGAAGTTGCGATATACATATTATTATTGCGAGATACATGTATTGGCTATTTGATGCTAATATCTATAATTAAGACTATTTTCTGCCAAATATATGAGTATGTTGCTTTACCATGCCAAAACCCAATTGGAAAGCGTTATTTCTTGATAACATGTTACATTTTTGTGAGGTAAAATGAAATTTTACTACTTTTTAATTCGGAAACTCATCTTCAAAAATATTTTTAAAAAATCAGTCCAATGTATTACCAAACAGGTTTTGGAAAAAAATACCAAAAAAAAAAAAAATTATGGACGAACGAGTTTCATTTTCCAATTTTCTTTTCCCCTTTTATATGAAACCAAAATTATATGAAAAATACAAAAAAAAAAAAAAAAAAATGTAAGTGGCCAGTGTGATGGCGTCGTGGGTTTGGGGATAAGTTAAAATAAAAGCAAACAAGTCAAGAAATATCATAATCAATGATAGTACATGATTAAGCAAACTAAACACTCTTTTAACTAATTGCATGACAAATTGTTTTTTTTTTCAAACAATAATTGCTGAAGCTGAAAAATAGATCCCTGTGGCTGTCAATATCAGTTCTCGGCAGATTGATTGATTCATAAATATTAGTATAACGAGTAATCATGTGAATACTGGTGACGTAGAGTCGGTGTGTATTTTACTAGAAACCATGCTGACAAGCAGGGGTGGATGGAGCTATATTGTCACTACCGAAACCCTGTATTTGTTTTAAAAAAATCCTTTAAATATATATAAATTAATATTAATTTAGAATTCAATCAAAATTCCGAACCCATAAATTTAAAATGCTGGCAAGCGGTGAAGCAAAACAAATTCTGTTCTTTACCTTAAAAAAGTTAATGGTGAAAAGTGGATTAGTTCACTTTTCAAACTGTTGCTAAATAAGTATTCAAATCCAGAGTACAGAGAGTAATGCCAAAGAATCCCTTTGCATCCCGCAACCTTTTTGGCTAAAGATTCAGTGGAAAGTATACTTTGTTTTTTTGGTCAAAGTGAGTTTTCTCATCTTTCTTTTTCTGGGCATAAATTTTTGTTCTTCAAGTTTGACTTTCCCAACTTGTGTTGTGATACAAATTTATAGATCTTTTTGAGCTGTGAAAGAAACTGAACTTACTCTGATTCTATTGAATGGTCTAATTTTGTATTTGGATGCTCTGAATATTTTGGATGTTACAACTTTTTAGTGTTATTTTACATAATTTGTAGAGAAAGAGCTAACTCGCATCAGCTCTGATTCTGACAATCGGAGTTTGGACTTATACTAATTAGGTACAAAAAATGGCTATGGAACCAACTGTTAAAGTGGTTCTTGGTTCAATTGCCTTTGCTATTTTTTGGGTATTGGCAGTTTTTCCTGCTGTCCCTTTCATGCCTATTGGAAGAACTGCAGGGTCTCTCCTTGGGGCTATGCTCATGGTCCTTTTTCGAGTCTTGACTCCAGATCAAGCCTATGCTGCTATTGATCTTCCAATTTTAGGCCTTCTCTTTGGTACTATGGTTGTTAGTGTTTATCTAGAAAGAGCAGACATGTTTAAGTATTTGGGTAAATTGCTTGCTTGGAAGAGCCAAGGAGCCAAGGATTTACTTTGTCGAATCTGCTTGATTTCAGCCGTTTCAAGCGCCTTTTTTACCAACGATACTTCTTGTGTTGTGTTAACCGAGTTTGTATTGAAAATAGCTAGGCAACAAAATCTCCCACCCCATCCTTTCTTATTAGCTCTAGCCTCGAGTGCAAATATTGGATCATCGGCAACTCCAATTGGGAATCCTCAGAATTTAGTCATAGCAGTACAAAGCAAGATATCTTTCGGGAAGTTTTTATTTGGAATTCTTCCTGCACTGCTTGTTGGCGTAGTTGTTAATGCCGTGCTGCTGCTTTGTATGTATTGGAAGGTGTTGTCTGTCCAGAAGGATGTAGAAGACGTAGTTCCTGAGGAAGAAGTAGTGTCCCATCGGTTTTCTCCAGCAACAATGTCACATCTTAATTCCTCGAATTCTCAAGAATTGAACAATGCCTTGGATTCAATAACTATCAGCAGCTCTCCTGGGAATCATGCTGAGACACTTAGAAATCGTGGCAATTTTGGAGAAAGTGAGATACAAAATGCCTCGAAAGAAGGATCCAATGATGGACCAGTAGAGAAAAGAGAAGAGAATGTGTCTTCAAAAACTGATGAATATGAAGACGAAAATTTCACATCGTATGACGAAAAGGAGAAATGGAAAAATATGTTGTGGAAAGTATGTGTTTACCTGGTTACCATTGGGATGCTAATAGCTTTGTTAATCGGTCTGAATATGTCTTGGACTGCTATCACTGCAGCACTTGTACTCGTCGTTCTTGATTTCAAAGATGCTAGGCCATCTTTAGAAAAGGTAACTGATTTCCCTCTTCATCTGTTAAAAGTGTTGATGTACTAAAACATATACACCAGATAAAAGCTTATTCGTATTTGACTGTACAGGTTTCCTATTCACTCTTGATATTCTTCTGTGGTATGTTCATCACGGTTGATGGCTTTAACAAAACTGGGATTCCAAGTGCTGTTTGGGATCTTATGGAGCCATATTCCAAGATAGATCATGCTGCGGGAATAGCAGTTCTTGCTCTGGTCATACTAGTCCTGTCAAATGTGGCTTCAAATGTGCCTACTGGTGTGTCTCTGCACTCTTTGAGCCCCAAATTAACCCTTGTTTTTTTAAACATATGCTCGCATTTCATTTCTTCATCTACTATATGCTTTACGAGATACAATTGTTCGCCAATATGTGTGTACAAACAATATATAGACAATTGGCTAATGAGTATAATGATGCTATGTGAAATCCTAGAGGAAGGAAAGAAGAAAAAGAAAGAATGAATAAGATAAGCATATTGACAATGTTCATGAAACTTCTGACATGATTTGTTAGTTGACTTAGAGCAAATTATCCAGGAAATAACAGTTTCTTCTGGGATTACTTGCCTTTAGTTGAGAACTGAATTTTACCTAGATGTTCACTTGAAAAACAAGTCTTTCATACTCGGATACTCCTATGGTTACTAGTCTGTTGAGAACCATGACAAAAAGTAAATCAAGCGGTCAGCATACTCTCTTGCCTAAATGTGAGTTAAAATCATACTAACATAGTATATCCTAATTCAAGAACTAATTTTCAATTTACTTCTTTGAAGTACTAAAAAAATATAGACGGAGAAGGAAAACAAAGGCATGTATGTATGTCCTAAAGAAGAAAATCACAGCAACTTCAGTTCTGTAAAAGACTATAGCGCCTTCTGCTGCTTCCTCGATAATTTATGAATAGGCAACCAGCTGATGAAATTTGGGTGTTTGACAATATATAGAACTTCAATATATGATCTATTAACACTATTTAGTTAATCTGCCCAAATATTGCCTTGTAACTTCCTTTCTAAGTACACTTTTTGAGCTAACATGATATTCCTTATTGTTGCACAGTTCTCTAGCTTTTACAGTTCAATAGTGATTGATAATGGTGCTGATAAGAATGGTTGTTGATCCAGTGTATATGCATGCATCTTGGTTATAATGACATGTTTTTACTTGGTCTCAGTGTTGCTGCTTGGAGCACGCGTAGCTGCATCAGCAGCTGCAATATCTCCTGCTAGCGAGCAGAAAGCATGGCTCATCTTAGCCTGGGTCAGCACTGTCGCAGGGAACCTTTCACTATTAGGCTCAGCAGCAAACTTAATAGTGTGTGAGCAGGCTCGTCGCGCTCAACACTTCGGCTACAATCTGTCATTCTGGAGTCATCTGAAATTTGGAGTTCCATCTACGCTTATTATTACAGCCATTGGTTTGATTCTTATTGGAGGATGACACATATTTAGCCACTGTACTTCTGTTCATAAGCTTCAAAATAGATTGTCAGATTCAGCTCTCATTCTTGTTTAAGTGTTGATTCATGGAAAGGTATTTATGAACTGTACAGTTTCTTTAAATTTTCAGCATTACCACTTTCAAACTGAGATACAAGAAACAAAAATTTATAAACAAGAGAGTATTCCATCTATGCTTTTACGTCATGGGCGGCTTTCCAGCCATGCCCCATGACCTCTTGGGCGCGCCCCGTGGCGTCCTAGCGAACCTCCCAATGCCTAGCGCCACGGACGGCCCCGTGGTCTTGGTCGCGCCAAGTGACAAGCACGCAGGTCCCTCTGTCGCCCCACTGATATCCCTCGCGAGCGCCAAGTCGCAGGCAGAAGCAAAAAGCGCCGCGCGCGCAGACAACACCGCGCGCGCAGACCGTGATGCCAAAGACACTGCTGCTGACAACGGACCTGCTGCTGCCTTATAGAAAACTAAGTCATTTTCATTGTAAATATAGAGTAGTTTTATTTCATGTACTTCCATTATGTTTCTCTAGCTTAGTCAAGTCTAGTCTTGTAACTTTGGATTATTTTTTTTAAGTACTATTAGGGGGGATCAAGCAATCAAAACTTTCTAGCAAGCAAGCAATTCTCTGTACTGGTGTCTCTCCCCCTCGACACCGCGTTGCTTTTCTGTAATAGCTTTCATTAATGCAATCAAGCTTTCTTTCATTCTGAATTCTCATTTCTGTTCTCTCAATTGCTCTTGACATTGGTTTTCCCGTACGGCACTGACAATCTCGTCTAGCGTACGGAGGGGACCTCAGTTGGCGGACAGCAACTGCACTGAGATCAGTTGCCTAGCCTTACGTCGCCCTTCCAAGGAATCTCAGGAAGGCGTCGCGTAACAGTTGGTATCAGAGCCTAGGCTCGACATCGGACGAGGGAACGTATTGACATACTACCATTTCTGACCATGGTGAATCATGGGGACCGCATTGCGGCCCTCGAAGGGACGGTTGAGGTATTGCGGCCTATTATGGATACGGTGCCTGAACTAAGAACCAGCCTACTGCAAAGGTTGGACGACCTGGACCGCAGGGTGCTTCAGGTCGAAGTTGACGTTGAAAACATCAGTCGCGACTCCGAGGGAGACCGGCAGACGGCAGCCACAGAGGCAGCCGAAATCTTTGAGAAATTCGAGGGGCTCCAACAGGAGCGCACCGAGGATTTAGCCCACAGCGCACAAGAGGCAGAAAAGGTGACTGCCATGCAACAAACCATTGACAAATTGACAGACCAACTCAATGTTGTCAACGCTGCTTTACAGGGCCTACTCCGAGGAGGTGGAAACCAAATCGGAGGTGCTGTGAACTCCGCTTCCGCAACAAAGAAGCTGAAAATTCCTGAGCCAAAGCCATACAGTGGAGCTAGGAATGCCAAGGAAGTGGAAAACTTCATCTTTGACGTCGAACAGTATTTCGATGCTGTTGGGGATCTGGAGGAAGCTAAGAAGGTAGCAACTGCTGCCATGTATCTTCAGGGTGATGCTAAACTCTGGTGGCGTGTGAAGTACGAAGCCATCAAGGCCGGTGAAGATGCTCTCGAGACATGGGCCGAACTGAAGGCAGCTATACGCCTGCAGTTCTTCCCCGAGAATGTTGAAATATAATGCAAGGAGAAAAACTACGGGAGCTCCGCCAGACAAAATCAGTGCGGGACTACGTGCGAGAATTCTCCGCACTCATGCTCAGCATACGCGACATGGGGGATAAGGACAAACTCTTCACCTTCATGGAAGGGTTGAAACCTTATGCCCGCGTGGAGCTACAGAGACAAAGGGTAGATTCCCTTCCCAAGGCAATCCAAGCAGTTGAATGCCTTGGGGACTATCAAATGGAAGCTCGAAGGGACAGGCCTCAGCCGCCTGCCCGAGCAGGGTTCAAAGGGGGCCAGCCTAGCAGTGGTGGTCCTAGCAAAAATGGGGGAGATCGGAACTCAAACAAATCTAGAGCTCCTTCCTCCGGCAGCAACAGTGCTGCGTCAAACAACAATGGGGGCGAGAAAGCCTCCTTCAGGATGCCGTCATTGCGGCGGTCCACATTGGAACAATGAGTGCCCACATGCACAGATGAATGCCCATCAGGCTATTGATGATGGGACTGATGACGACTCAGACGATGCGGACCAGACTGAACCAGTAGGTGCCTTCAATGCAATTGTGGGTTCCATTTCTGAGGCACTAGCGGAGACCAGTGCTGGTATTCGTAAGAAGAAGGACTCATGTCCCGTCACCAGGAAACGGGAAAAAAGAAGGCGAATGAAGAGACTCCTCTTAAACAAGAGAGGACCTTAATGTTCGTCG